ACTAACATAGGTCAGCACCATAGGTTGAGAGAGTGTGCCATTTCCTCTAGACCACTGTGGTGAAATCTCCTAGACTCTCATTTTAGCGTGTGTTGACTGATGTCTACCTTTGCTTTTGACAAACCTCCTAGCTTTACAACTTCCGTAGTGGATGCCTGGACACTTCTAAATAGTTACAAGATTCTTCCTTAAACTAAACTCTTTTCTTCTTACTAGTTTTTTTTTTTTCTCATTTGTGCTATTTTGAACAAAGTTTCATCTTTTTTTTTTCCTGTATGAGAGTTCTTTAAATGTTCAGTCTCTTAAGTCCTAAGAAATCTTGTGTTCAAATTAACAATATGAGCCCTTTAACTCTCCATGTTATGATATAATTTCTAAAAGTCACTCTTACACTATTCTAAAGGTATTTTGGCATACGATTAATTTCAGTGAAGTGGAACTCTTATTTTGATTGAAATGCAAACCACCCTGCCTGATTATAAATAAGACTGACAATTTTGTGGTGTCTTCTTAAACTGTTGTCTTGCATTAATTAAATCTCATGTTTTCCAACAACTTTCAGGAATACGATGTTAAGGTTGTAAATTTTATGGGGAACTAGTATGCTGAGATCTTTATTTGGGTCTTTTAAAAGTTTATTTCCGTTTCATTTTTTCTGTTGGAATATTTCTCAAATTTACTTTATATTATTGACCTACATACTGCTTATTGTTTTTTAGCTAGCCTTGGATTTACTTAATTTTCTTGTCCAGTCACATATATTTGTGTTACTTTTAAGGGTCTCATGAGAAGTTTTCAGAACTTTGCTGGAATCCAGTTTTCTGCATTAGGTATTCTCCAGTCTATAAGGATGTGTCAGTCAGTCATTTGTAGAAGGAAAGAATCAGAAGGCACCCAGGGTGACTGTGCTGTTCTAGGTTGGGAGATAGGACAACGTTGTGGATGGTGGTGCCAGGCACCAAGATAAAGTTATCTCCGTCTGACAGTGGCTTGTGTGCACGTTGTGGGCCACAGTTGTATGTAACGTGGACAGTGTTGAGAGTGTGGACTAAAGAGCCTATGCGATGCAGAAAGAGGTTCAGGGTGATTGAGAGGAGGTGATAAACATTGCCAAGGGAATTCATGCCTAGTAGACTTTGTCTTTCTGATGAAATGGGGTGAAATCCATTTTTACAGGAGAGGCAGAACTGGAGATGTGAGCTGTGAATATGTTTGGAATCAGGTTAGAAAATAGGAAAGGGAGCTTATTGAGGATTGGAAAATGAATGCTAGACATGAGGGAGATAGATGTTATTCCCAGCTTGCCTCAGACAAGCACAAAGACCTTTCTCCCTGGCCCTAAGTGTTTTTACTGTTACTACAGAAGTGGTTCTTGCCTGGGAGCTGTATATCAGAATGTGAAGAAGTAGAGGTAACTTGTATATGGAAATGCAGTGGTGATTCAGATAGATCCTCCAAGGCATCTTTGTTACTGTCACGGTAATAACTAACAGGGAAATGAGAATAATGGTTGGTTTTGAGGAAATTGTTTCTAAATTCATCTAGTGGAACTGAGTTTTTTGGGTTTTGGCCTCTAAGCACCTTGTTGAGACTTTAATAGAAGAGAAAGTATCTGCTTGCCTCGCTTTGAGTACCTTTGCATATCTTCACTATTTTTGGGTCATCACAAATGATGAAATGTCTCAGGAGTACCACTGGGTATTCCTGGAAAACAGGGTGCATCCCTTTAATACCCCAAACTTCCCACCTTCTGTGCGAGAATCGATTTCTGTGCTTCCCCGCTAGCTTATAAATGTGTCATCCATTTAGTGTATCAAACACCAGCACAGTGCCTGGTATATGGGGGACACATACAGATGTTGGATGGTTTGTTGGCAGAGGTGAAGACCAAGTCAGCCCTGGTGGTGCTCTGTTGAGGGCCCTGCCCCTGGGAGTATCCTGCTGGAGCAGAGGGGCTTTCATAGCTGGGGGTGGATAGGCCTGCTTTTAAACCTTTCATGCTCTTCCCTACGAATAAGCCAGCTTCAGTTACAGTTTATGCTTCCTTGGGGAAAAAATAGAAACATCATTGTATTTAGCAGGTTTCTAGAAGGATTTCTTTCGTATCTACAGTTTCTGTGAATCCAGATGGGATAAATACATTAGAGACTTCAGGTCTAGATAGTCTTGTAAGTTATGCCAGAAATATTTCCCATATAGATTTCATAGCTCTTCTACGAGAGCTAGTATCTCAGCCTTCTGCCAGCTGCTATCTACATTTGGAGGTATATGTATCAGGTCTAAATTTTCTCTACTTTTACCATACAGTGTATTCCTATGCCTCATAATCACTAAACTCCCAAAAGGCCTGTGTTAGTTACTTTTCTCTCATTGCTGAGACAAAATACCCGACACCCAAAATTAAAGGGGAAAGGATTTATTTAGCTCACAGTTCATAGAGGTTTTAGTCCATAATTGGCTGGCTTCCAGGCAGGAAAGCATATGGCATAGGCAACAGTTCATAATTAACAGGGTCTTTCTGCCCTTTTATTTTACTCAGACTACCTAGGGCAAGTAGCACTCACACCCTTAATCCTAGTGCCCGTGGGCCTAGCCCCACAATGAATCATCAATCACACACTCTAGATTCAGCCACCTCCGAAGAAGCGTGAGGCTTTGAGGGGACATCTAAACACAAGCCATAATAAGGCCCTTTATTGGGATGGAGATTTTGCTCAGTGGTGCTGCCACCTGCCTCCCCAGCAGCAAGAGTTCAGAGTTCGATCTCCAGTACAAAAACAAAACGAAACAAACAAACAAAACAATGGCCTTTATCTGTGTCACTAATGAGCATCCTTTGGTTTTATCCATTTTACATTTTCTTGCCTCTTTGAGGCTCTGCTCCCCTAGAGAATGAACAGAGGCAGCTGCTTTCATCCAGAAGTCTCAATTTTCTGGGGACATTTGTAAAAATCTATGGATTAGGTCTTAGTTTGGTATGACTGATTAAGCAAACAGCTGCTGATTAAGAAGCAAAGCTGGGAGAAGAACAATTTAATCAGCTTCTGTTTGTGGAACCTTTAATAGAAGCTATAGCTTGAATATATGGAGCACTCCAGTTTTTTTTGTGGAGCGGGGAGTACTGGCGATCAAACTGGGACCTTGCGCTTGTGAGGCAGGCGGTGGAACCACTGAGCTAATCCCCCGCCCTCTCTACTTAGTTTTAAATGAAACATTTTTGAAAGAGAGACTGTCAATATATACCTGAAAGACTAATTCAAAATAAGCCTGCTGAAAATACAAAATATTCATCCAGTATAACAATGAACTAATAAAAGCTAAGTTTTAAGGGCAATAATAGATTTTTTAATGTTGAATTGTTTGAGTGCTTTTTTGATGTATTAAAGCGACAGTTCATAAACTGTATAATTTGCATCATAAAAATGAGGCATGATCAAAGTATATGGTGAATGTTTAAAGATATTACAGTAAAAGACATATTGCCATTAATCCTTCTCAGAATACTTCTCACTTTGAAAACACCCATCATTTCCTGAAGCACGTCTTTTTTTGTGTGAGTGTGTTTACATGGTATGATCAAAAATTGGTGAATGCTGCTGCCAGGTGCCATCCTGTGGAAAGACAGGCTTACATTACACTGTGTGTTCATCCACCTCAGATCTGGCATCATGTCAATTCTGGGTCTTTGCCAAAGTCAAAATAACCAGGCAAGGTAAATGTTTTTAATCAGTTCAGGACATTGAGGCAGCCGTAACAACACAGCTGAAGACATGAAAAGGACTTCTAGAAGTGCTTTAGAAAATAGCAAGAACCATAGGATAAGTACCTTCAAAACGGAGGGGAATATTTTGAGGGGGGACTGACGACAATGTGTCTTTTAGTGTAATACATTTTAAAAATTAAACTCACTCTAATTTTGATCACATCTCATGTTTTATGACAACTTAAAATATTTTAGTGAAATGGTCATGGTATGTGTTGAATTTTAACAGAAGTAAATGAGCAGCCTATGCCCATCTACTGCTCCACGGCCAACAGGGAACCTCCAAAGCTTTCCAGGCAAACCATTCTCACACTTACCATTCGACTTGCACTCTTGTCTGCTGAGTGGTTCCATTTTCTTCAGTTATCTCTCCACTTGGCCTCCAGATCTTCATTTACTTTGATCTTAGAAAAACATTTTCACTTTATATCTCATATAGCAAATTATAATGATGTTTGACTTATGTACAAAGCTTACTTTTATGCATTATTTGGTTAATATTAAATCTAGGCTAAAAGGCCACCAATTAAAAAATTTTAATACAGAATGAACACATACATGTTGAACTAAAAAGAATGAGCAATAAAGTTAGTGAAGGTCTCACAGAGAAGAATTGAAATATTAATAATTAACAACAAACTAAAAATAATTATAGTCAATAACAAACTAAAAAATGAGAAAAGAATTCATGGAAGACATGAATTTTGTCAGAAGGGGCCCTGTGGGAGACTGATTGTAATCGTGATATCCTGGTTGGAAGGGAATGAAGTGGGGTTACTGCTCATGTGGTCAATGACTTGGTTTTTCTCTAGTGAATTGGCTTCAGTAGGTGACTTTATTTCTAAAAAACAAGTATATAGGTTTTTTTAAGCACTTTTTTAATTTTTAAATTTTTTTTTATTTATTTTTTTGAGACAGGGTCTCACTATGTAGTTGAGACTGACCTGGAACTCATTTTGTAGCCCAGGCTGATCTCAAACTCACAGCAATCCTCCTGCCTCAGCCTCCCTAGTGCTGGGATTAGAGGGGTACACTACTACGTCTGGCTGAAGTATATACTGTTTTAAATGAAAACAATCTAGATTTATTGTAAGATAGTAAGTTATTATGAGAGTAATTTGTAATAGTAATTTATAGGAGTTTATAGTAATTTATAGATATAATTTATAGTAATTTATAGTATTGTAAGATAGCAATTTATATTTGAAGCATTTATAGCTGTCAATTCTCTCTACAGGTTGATGAAATATGGATACCGACACCAAACTGGTTATCAGCACTCTTTGTACCAGCTTTCTCACCTTTCAGTTTTTTTTCCACTTTGTAAGTTACTGGTTTTCTGCAAAAATTTCTTCAGGTTTTAATAGTCTCAGCTTGGAAAAGAAGATTGAATGGAACTCAAGGTAAAGTATATAAAATATATATTTAACTTCAGCATTGTGAAATAAAATTACTTCAAATATTTTAAAAAGTCTTTGATGAGAATCTAACAAAATTTAGTCAAATTTGACCTTAGGAATAAAAAGAAAAAACATATAGACAGAGCTCATAAAAGAAAAATTTAAGAACTGTTATATTGAAAGATGTCAGGAAAAACTTATTTAACTTTTTGTAAAGTATGGGGAGATTTGGCCAGCTGATTATACAAGTGTATTATATTGAATTTTTTTGGAAGTATTTATAAAAATCACATATTCTTTGACAACAGTAACAGAAGTAAACATTTGTTGGAGTTATGAATAGCTTATGTATAACTTGTAGCTGTTGAACTCTACACACCAGAGAACATAATACACAGTCAGTACATCTATGATATTTTAATGAACTTTGCATTGTAATTTGAGCCTTCTAAAATTCATTCATTCATTCATTCATTAATTCATTCATTCATTTATTTATTTATTTATTTATTTTGAGACGAGGTCTCTCACTATGTAGTTGAGACTGACCTGGAACTCACTATGTGGCCCAGGCTGTTCCTGAACTCATAGCGATCCTCTTGCCTGAACCTCCGAGTGCTGGGATTTCAGGCGTGTGCCACCAGCCCAGGCTTATATTTCTAAAGTAAAACCTGCCTTTTGGATTTTTTTAAACAAATAGTAGAAAAAGAATTAGTCTATAGATGAGGACATCTTTTGAATTTTTCTTACTTTTTTTCAGGTTTGTGTGTGTGTGTGTAACTTATTAATTTCACAAGGTTTCAAGTACAAAATGACTCTGACTGATTGTCCTCCTTTAGAGCATTTTGTATGTCCAAACATCACAGCACTCATGGAAATATTTTTTTATGGTTATTTAGTTGGGGTTAATGCTGATGATAAAATGCATTCAGCAGGTTTCCAAAATTGTTGTAATTATTTGTCATTGAAATTTCCTTTTAAAATTTAAACTGGGTGTGGTGGTACATGCCTATAATTCCAGTATTGAGGCAGGAGGATCACTTCAAGTTCAAGTCCAGTTTGGGGTACATAGTGAGTTCAAGGCCGAGAAGGCATTCACTTTTATAACTCATACTGACAATAAAAATCAATTTGTTTGTGTTTTGTATTGATGTGTCTGGTTCACACATACTATAATTTTTTCACCCCCAAAACAAGAATTATTTGTTCACATATTTTTTCCCTTTTCTACAACTGACCTCTGAAATTTATTATATCATATAATAAATTTAATACATTTTATTGATGAGACAAAAATATATATAAGTGCCAGGAGAACAGAGAAGAATTACCCCCCCACACACACAGTATGGTTATTTGTACTTTTTGGAGCTTCCTGACTCATCCTAGATCTATTCTGTCCATTGTTTCCATAGAAGTAAAGTCTTAGGTGATGTCTTCATTGTTTATCCTGTTGTTGAGACAAAATAGCCAACACCCATAGTTAAAACAGAAAAGGTTTATTTGGCTAACAGTTTGTAGAGGTTTCAGTCCGTAATTGGCTGGTTTTGAAGCATAGTGGCACAGCAGACAGGCATCTCAGAGGAGAAACAGTTCATGGTGGGCAGAAGGTAGCAAAGCAACAAAGAATAACCAGTTTTTTCTATCCCTTATATCTTAATCCAGGCTACTTAGAGGAGGTAGCACTCACACACTTAATCCTACTGCCCTTGACCCTACATGCACCATGAATCATACTCTAGATCAAGCTATCTCTGAAAAAGCCCCTCCTATGACCTCATGTGGCTTTTGGGGGGACATTAGACACAGCCCTAACAGGCGATAACAAACTAACAACCCATAATCACCCCAGATTTCACCCAAATGTATCCCAGGATGGAACTAAAGAATAATCCCAATTAACGAAGAAATCTCAATTAAATGTCATGCCTGTGCAGGTTCTAGTTAAGAAATAATCTAAATCTGTTGTTGTTATAGAGAATATGAGTTCCTTTCTCCCTTAAACCCTTAATCAGTAAAAAGTTAATAATTGACTTGATTCATCTTATATCTGCTTTTCCTTTAGTTTGAATTTTCAACTTTAGCATGCAAATTTCTCTCATGCCTCTGTTACTGTAATCCATCAAAGCAGATTGGAGCCGATATTCACTGGACATGTCACATGCCAAGCATTATGACAAACATCTTTGCATTTGTTCTTTCATGAACACTTGTGGTATCTTCACTCGACAAATGTGTAGCTTAAGACCCAGAGGGGTCAAAATAAGTATCTAAGCCCACAAAGCTAGTAATTTAGGGGTTTGTATAGGAACAATCATATGTCTGATTTCAGAACATACTTTACTACATGTGGCAGAGAAGACAGTTGCATGTTAAAAATGTACAGACTAAAATGGTACTGGAAGAGAGAAATAAATGGAGGCAGAAAGAAAAGGTCTTGTGGTGCTTGCTTCTTCCCTGCCACAACACCCAGAAGGTGGGTGGAGTTGTTGTTGCTAAGCTCAGTGTTGGAGACTTCTGGACCAGGAGAAAGTATCACTGCAGGCTGGCTCTGGGAGACCATAAAGTAGTTCTGAAAGTTTATAGACAAGCCAAAACAAAGCTTTCTTTTATAGGATTCATTCTTTCCTACAGTGAGTATCTATTATATGTGTCTATAAGTATCTATGAGAAGTCAGATATACAAAGGTGAATAAGGTATTATTTTATGAAATATTAGGAAGTTCTTCCAGGATTTCAGTGTCTGTTGAGGAAGAGAGTAAATTTACAAGCTATTGGAATAAATGAGACAATATGTACTGTCTGTGCACTTAGGAGCCCCTTTATAATCAACCTGTTGGGTATATGCTGATTTTTTTCACTTTTATAATGGCTTTAATTAATCGTGCATTTTACAGAAGTCTGGGAATGATTTCAAAAAAGCATCTCCTTACCCCACCCATCATATTTCTCTGACAGTTGTTAAAGTAGGCAATAAGTATGTCAACAGCTTGAGCATCGGCAAGAATTTCAGATCAGCCAACCAGTTGCCAAAGAACTTGGCAGCTTTTCTATCTTGTTTTTAATACAACAATATATCCAATCTGATGGTAATCCTGTCCAGCCAATTCCTCAGAACATGCTTTGCAAAATCAGTGATGATTAGAAAATTAGTTAGCTTTGGAATGGATCTGTGCTTACTTGCCTATGACAGCCTGAAAGCCAGTTTTGATAATGGCAACAGAGCATCGAGAATGACAAGTTTCACACTGTAAGAAATAGATAGAGCTGGGTGTCCTTCTGCAGAATTGTGTCCAGCAATCAGTATGTGTGACAAGTGACACACTCCTTGATATACCTTAAGACTTTTCTGTTTCTGTTGAAATCTTCCTTTGATTACAAGTTGGTTTTTACCATCTATAGAACTACTTGTACCCAGTTCTGCCAATAAAAATGTAAGGAAATGTTTGGGTTGATGATGTAATAATTTATAGATATCTGTAAAGTTGACAAAAGAAGTTTCCTTGGTTCAGGTGACCTGTGGAGGTTTCATGACGCATTTTCCTTTCTCTCCAGAAACTGTACCTGGTTCTTTTCCCCCGTGATGTTGAACTCTCGATTTAGTATCTCTTCATATGTGCAGTCTCTCTCTTAGTCCAGCCTGACTGGTTACTGAATGTAATACTGTCATCTTTTTTGTTGTCATCTTCTAAGGCTTCTTCTTTTTCTAGTATTTAATCCTCATCTGGAAACTTGACGTTCTTCTTTTTGTTGCCAAGCATAATATCAGTCATCCTCTGGTTCAGCTGGCTCTTGGATTTCTCTTCCAATCTTTTTTTTTTTTTTCTTTTTATTGAGGTTATTGGTACAATCTAGGTATACAATACAATTACATTCATCATTGGGATTCTGTACCTTTACATAATAGGTCTTGATTCTCATTTTTCCCCTTGCCCCTGCCCTCCCTTCCCCCCCCCCTCCCCTCCCCATTTACAAACACTTTATTTCCATTTTTTCAGTTTCTCATATTTTTTTCCTCTCCCTTATTACCTTTCCCCCAC